CCCTGCCAGGTCGCACCGAGCTAGTCTCTCCCCTCCTTCCCTCTCCCCTCTCCCTTCTCCCCTCTCTCCTCTTCTCCCCCTTTCCCAGGACTCCCCAAACTCCCCCTTTCCCCTTCCCCAAACTTTCACGGCTTCCAGCCATGTGCCTCCCCTCCACCCGGGTCATCCGTGCTCTCGTGGGGCAGTTTCAGCTCCGTGCCTGCACTGAGTGAGCCTGTGGCCCCTCTGGGCCAGCAACAGCAGCAGCAGCACAGGGCGGCTCGGGGGGCTCGGAGCAGGTCCCACATCACCCCAGCTGCTGGCCCTGGGAGGTGGAGGATGCTTGCCCCGCACACCCGTGCCTGCCAAGCCTCCTGCCCTCTTGTGAGTGGAGGAACTTCCTCTGTGTCCTGCCATCCCCTGGTGGGCTTTAGACCCATGGGTGCGGTGGGGCACCCATCGCTAAGGTCCTTGGGTGGTGAGATGTCCCCGCAGGACTGTCCAGCAGGGCAGCCTGGGACTTTGGCTGGCTGTGCCTGGCTCTGTGTTTTGGATAATGCCTTGCCCAGTGCCGGAGGCTTTCCCCAAGGAGGGTCCCAAGCCACCAGCCAGGAAAAAGCGTCCAAGCCCAGTTACTGCTGGTTCCTAGAGCCCCCACTGTGCTCCAGAGCCACCGAGCAAACCAGCAGCAGGGAAATGGGACATACCTGGTCCTGTAACCCTCGTTGTCATCCTGGTGACACATCCTGGGCTGGTGGGGACAGCTCTGCACCCTCAGCCCTGGGAGCACGCAGGGATACTGAGTGTACGTGGGGTCACCTCAGGGGTTTTGGGTGCTCTGAAGTGCTCTTTGGGACATGGATTTCTCCCCACAGACATGAGGAGCAAGGGCTCCTATTTTGGGTGCTTTAAATTAGATCTGTGAATGTCCCCCAATATCTGTCCATGTTCAGGAAAGACCTTAAGTGCATGTCTAACTTTCAGTATGCACTCATACTCCACCAGCTCGGATAGGGTTTAGACAAGAGCTTAAAGTCAGTTGAAAAATGCCACCAATACTGGGCTGACTTTGTACAATTTCAGCTTAACTGGGCTGTTTGCAACTCTTGGGCCAGACCTTGGCTGTCGGGAATCAGGTCTTACATTGCAAAATGTCTTGCATGCTTTTTAGGTGCATGAAATACCATTAAATACATACGTATAGTGTGGTGAAAAAGTATGGTCATCGAGAGAGTTTAAAAATAAGGTTTTCGAGCAGGTATGTGTGTTTGCACTGCGCGCGGGCGCGCGGGTGTGTGTATGCACTGGTGTATGGGGGGGCATTGTTGTCATCTGTCTGAGCCACAACTGCTGCCTCTGTCAGGAGGTTCAGCTGGTTACCTTTGGAAAGCTTTCTTTGAAAACAAAACCAGAACAAAACTGGTTTTTTTGATGAATCAAAGCCTCAATTTCTATAGAATCATCCGGGATGGTGTCTGCAGAGCTGTGCCCAGCAAAGCCCTCGGAGAGCGTCAGTGGTGTGGGGCAGGGGTTACAGATGTGGGACTGTGGTCAGGAGCAGAGCTTAGAGATCTTCTTTCCCTTCCCGTCAGTTTGTGGCAAGTTTGATTCTAGTGTCTGGAAGCAAACCCACCCGTCTGACTTGCTTGCCTCTCTGAGCTCAAAAAAAGTTGAAATCCAAGGGGGACTGCAGTGATTTCCCTTATCTAGTGTCTCAGGTGTCCTTTTCTTTCTAACAAGCCTGGGGAAATTCCTCCCTGCTCGGTCTGGGACTTCATCCCATGTAGAGAAGGTGGCAGGTGAGAAGGGCTGTCAGAGCCTGCTCGCTGGCCCCGTGGATCCATGCACACACTCAGCCCAGACTTCCTGGCAATCCCACGAGGCCAAAGCTGTTTGGATTTTTAATTTCTGTGAAGGTTTGCATAGCTTTGGTTAGGGAGATATTATTTTTTTTCCCCAATCTCTTCTGCTGTTGACTCTGTGGAGCCCTCACCCCCATCTGGCTTTCTGCACTTCAGGTCCAACAATAACCAGTTGCTTATAAATTGCTTTGATAAAGACACTATGGAAAAGCAAAGCATTATCCTCAACACGGCCGAGGCGAGCTCCTTTAGCATGCACAGACCTTCCTCGCAGCTTCAAAGGCTGCTGCAGACAGGATGTGCTGAGCTGCCTCCAAATGCTCTGGGGCTTCGTGGACACAAATACAAATGTAAGTCTCTGCAAAGAAGATCCTTGTGTGTGATGTGAAGCAGTTTCAGGGATGAAGAGGCCAGATGTGGGAGAATAACAAGCTAGTAACAGTCTCCTGGTTGCCCCTGTGCACAGCGGAATGACCTGTCTGACTCCTGGCAAGCTTCGAAGGCACAAGTGACCAAGCTGCTGATGAAAACACAATGCAACCCCAGAATAATTAAATCTATCATCTGCACCTCAGTTTCTGGGTTATTTTTGCCATTAAGAATCTTTTC